GTGGAAGGATCACCGGAGCCCAGCAGGTCGAGGCTGCAGTGACTGTGAGCATGCCACTGCACTCCAGTCTGGGCGACAGAGTGAGACTCCGACTCAAACAAGACAAAACAAAATAATAATAAAATAAAGACCTTGGAACCATGCCTGGCACATAGTAAGTGCTCAATTGTTTAAAAATAAATAAAGTCTTTAAAAGTGACAGTGGGGCTGCTCCATGCCAATGTGAGTGTCTGACTGTGACTGGGTGGATTGTCACTGCCCTGAAAACACGGTGGGCCGGGTGCCCTTTGAGCCACACTGCAACCAACACAGGACAGTCACTCCACCCCCAACACCCCACCCCCCAGGTCAGAACAACCCTGGTCCTTCTCACATGGGATCCCTCTGGGACTCAGCCTGAGCACACATCCCAGGGGAATGCAGCCTCCGACTCACCGGCGATCCTGCCGTCCGTGGAGGCCCGCGGCATCGTGGGGAAGGGGCAGACCCTCTCAGTCCTGCTGCCGAGCTCTGCACAGGGAGATAAGCTGAGGGACTCCTCTCAGTTGCTGGGCTGCCTGGCCAGGCCAGGGGCATCCAGGTGGCTAGAGGAGCTTAGCAAGCCCCGGGTCTGGCGACTGCTGCAGGAGACCCCTTCGAGGGCCCAGCTGAGAGGGCTGGGTCCCCTCTGCAGGCAGGGCACGTTGACTCCATGGACCCCGAGCCTCCCAGACCCCAAAATGGTGAGCCTGGGAGCCCTGTGGGGCACCATTCCTAAGGCTCTTCCTCAACCCAGTGCCTGGTTAGGTGGTCAGGGAGGCAGTGGAGGGCAGGGGGTAAGGGCCAGGCAGCCCAGATGCTCACCCCAGTTCCCCCACAAGAAACTCAGCCTCGCAAACTTGTTCTCTCAGCTGTGAAAGTGGTTGCAAAGCCAAGTGGTGACAGAGCCGGGTGTAGACCCCAGGGGCCCTATATCCAGGGTCCTCTCTATTTGCCAAAAAAATATGTATTGAAGGTCGGGCATGGTGGCTGACGCCTATAATCCCAGCAATTTGAGAGGCTGAGGCAGGAGGACTGCTTGAGCCCAGGAGTTCAGAACCAGCCTGGGTAACACGGCAAGACCTCGTCTCTACAAAAAATATGAAAAATTCGCCAGGCGTGGTGTTGCACGCCTGTAGTCCCAGCTACTTGGGAGGCTGAGGCTGGAGGATGGCTTGAGCCCAGAAGCTCAAGGCTGCAGTAAACCGTGATCATGCCACTGCATTCCAGCATGGACGACAGAATGAGATCCCAATCTATATAGAGAGATTTACTGAGAAACTTCTATGAGCCAGACATTGTTCTAAGTATCTTGAAGTTAAATCACTGAACCCAAAAATGCCACTGATATCTTAGTGGGGGGCAAGAGGAATAAATTATTAAAATGAAAAAGGAAACAGAAGCATTGTACAATATGGAGAGAAAAAATAAAGCACCATAAGGCAAAGAGAAAAATCTGGGGAAGGAGCAGGGGTTGGAATTTTAGAGAGGCTGGCCAGGCCTCACCGACAGGTCACCATCTCAAAAGAGACCTGAAGGAAGTTAAGGAGTGAGCTGTGTAAGCATCTGGAGCATAGGAGAATGGGAGGCAGAGAAAACAGCAAGTGCAAAGGTCCTGGGGCAGGAGTGTCTCTGGCTTGTTCAGTGAATAAGGAGGCCCTTGAGGCTGGAGCGCATGAGCCAGGAGGAGAAGGCTGGCAGAGAAGGATAGAAGTGGGAGGTCACTGTAAGGACTGCACTTTGACCCTGAGTGAGCAGGGAGCCACTGGAAGATGCTGAGCAGAGTGACATGCCCTGATGCGTGAATCTGTCTGGCCCCTCTGCTGAGAACAGATTAGAAGAGGTCAAGAGCAGAGGCAAGGAGGCCAGTGACGAGGTTCTCCAGAGGCCAGATTCTGGATGAACTTTTTTTTTTTTTGAGTTGGAGTCTCACTCTGTCGCCCAGGTTGGAGTGCAGTGGCATGCTCACGGTCCCCACAGCCTCAACCTGCTGGGCTCAGACAATTCTTTCGCCTCAGTCTACAGGCGCAGGCCACCACACCCAGCTAATTTTTTTGAGTTTTTGTAGAGACAAGGTCTTGTTATGTTGCCCAGGCAGTCTCAAACTCCTGGGCTCAAGCAATCCTCCTGCCTCAGCCTCTCAAGGGGTAAGCCACCCCATCCAGCCTCTGGATAGATGCAAGGGATTTGTGGACAGTCGGGATGAGGGTAGGAGACAAGGGGACTCAAAGGTGATGTCTGAGTGACTGGAAGGATGGAATCAGGGTTTGCTGGGAAGGGGAAGACTGGGAGAGGGACAGGGGTTGGAGCCGTTTGGTTTAGGGGCCACTGGGATTAAGACACCCACTAAGCAACCCAGCAGAGGGATGGGCAAGCAACGTGGGGTGTGCATGTCTGGAATTTGGAGAAGTCGAGGCACAGAGGGGAATCGTTTGCACTCTGTGGTGTTCAACACCCAGGACTAGTGAGATCACCCAGCGTCTGAGTACAGAGAGGAGGGGAGGCCCTCTGACTCTGCAGTACTCTAGCATCTAGACACAGGCCAAAGAGGAGAAAAGAGATTAAGGAGAGACCAGTACGGTAGAGGAACCAGGTGAGTGGGGTGTCCTAAAAGCCAAGGGAAGAAAGAGTTTTGGAGGAAGGGGAGGTGACCCACTGGGTCAAAGGCTAAGAGAGCCTCAGCTAGCAAGGACTGAGGGTGGACGTAGACAACCCTGTGTTCAGGTCCCCAGAAACCCTGACAAGAGAGACTTCCGTGGAGAGATCAGAAGACATTGGCTGGAGAGGAGAGCAGAGAAATGGGGTGATAAGAGGCTGGGCCTCCTCAGCTTGAGACTGCAAGAGTGTCCCCCAGGCAAGCAGGAGAGGGAGGGGCGCTCAGCCCACGCCAGCCACCTCTTCCATTGCTTCGCCTTGGCGAAGGCCTGCTCTCCCAATGACGCTGATTTGAGGGAGGAGCTCAGAGCTCCACCAAGAGCTTCCTCACCTTCCAGGGAGCTGGAAGCCTGCCAGGGGGGCCTCTTCTGCCCAAAGGCCCCCCTGAAAAATGGCCCACATACCAGGGCTTGCCTCTGGGTCCTGATGTATTGTAGCAGCTCATATAGGACGTCACCTGGGGGAGAAGGGGATGGGAGGGCGGGCTGATGACCAGGTTGAGTGGGGAGGGCCAGCCTCAATCCCCAGGGGTCACCCGCCTCTGAGGCGAGGGCTGGCACATCCTGTCACAAACTTCAGGCTGACGGACATGCAGCTCCTGCTGTAGCCACAGGAGCCTGGGCTGGCAGTGGACAGGGCCAGTGCCACCCTGTGGCAGATACATTTTAGAAAGACATTCCTTACTGCGGCCTCCAGGGATGCAGCTTGTAAGGTGAGGCTGCTTCTCGGCCTCACACACACCCTTGGCCGAGGGCCCGTGTACCTCACATCCCTGGGAGGTGAGACAGTTCTGTTCATGAGATTCCCAAGCTTCATCAAAAGGCTACCCCAGCCTTCTAAGCAGCCAAACAATCCTAGCCACGTCCTACAAGGCAGAATTGGGCCCTGTCCAAGGTGCCAGAAATCCTCCTTTACTCACAGCTTTGGGCTAAGGTGCTGATGATGGTAGGGCAGGGAAAGGGGATCCCTGAGGAGAGAACCATGCTGGGCTTGCTGGACATTCACTCTTTTGCCCTGAAACCCAGTTTCTGGTTGAAATGAAAACTCAGGCTGGGCGCAGTGGCTCACTCCTGTAATCTCAGCACTTGGAGAGGTCTCAGAACCAGCCTGGGCAACATAGTGATACCTCGTCTCTACAAAACATTTTAAAAATTAGCTGGGCATGGTAGCACACCTATAGTCCCAACTACTTGAGAGGCTGAGAAGGGAGGATATTTGAGTCCAGGAGGTTGAGGCTGTGGTGAGCCATGATCATGCCACTGCACACCAACCTGGGTGACAGAGTGAGACCCCCAACTCAAAACAAAAACAAAATCACTCAAATTGGGTGACTTTTTATTGTTGTTGCTGTTATTAGCCATTTATACTCATTGTGAATGAACACTAGATCTTTCTCTAGTTTTTTGTTTGCTTTTTAATAGATTGGAACTGGAGCAGTGAGATGGAAATGGATAGTAGACACAGGGCCGCAGGGAAGGACAGGGGAACGTGACATGGCAGGACAGGCCCCTACAGCTCTGAAGTCAAGCGCCCAAGGGACTCCTTTGCTGAAAGCCTGCTATAGGCAGGAGCCACCGAGCAAACATCGATGGAGAGAGAGGCATCTGCCGTGCTGGGAGCGGGGCACAATTCCCCAAGGAAGAACCCCTCCTCTCCCTCCCTGGGCCCCCTGGGGCACTTGAGCCGCCTTGGCCTACCAGGGTTCCCACCAAAACATTTCAGAAGGAAGCCTGTGAGTTTCCCTGACCTGAACCGGGTGCGCGGAGCCGGAAGTCTTCCTTGGTGAGGATGCAGAGGGCACGGCCGTTCATCTCGAACCCGTACTCACGGGTGTGCGGCAGAGAGTACTCCTGCTCTGCCCAGCGCAGCCAGTGCAGCACGTCCTCCTTGCTCCAGAGCACGGGCTGGATGCCTGCAACCAGCAAGGACGCGGGCTGGGGGAGGGCGGCAGGGGGCAGGAGGCGCGTGGGGACCCAATCTCTCATCACTCCTGCTTCAGGCCCTGGCTCACCTGTCACCTCCTCCAGGGAGTCCGCCCTGAACACGCCCCTCTGAGCAGATGCTCTCCTGTTCTGCCCCCAGCTCCCGTCACCTCCTTTGTCACCGTGTCCTGCTCTTTTCCTTCCTAGCACTGGACTTTCTTTGCAATTATGCTTTACATTTGATATAATGATATGTTCGTGTTTTTCATGATAAATGTATTATGTACATATTCACTTATCTATTCTCGGTATCTTCTTTCTCGCCCCCGACCCCCACCTGTTTCCCAATCATTCATTCAACAACAGCGAGAGCAGTGTCCGGAACACAGGAGGTGCCCATTAAACATGTGCTGAATGATTGTTTCCATGACCAAGCAGTTCTGTGAAGGGGTGTTTTTGTTAGTTTCCCACATGAAGAAATGATGAACCATCAGCCCATGGTCACACACAGGGAGCATGAGATACGGCCAGGCCTGGAATCCAGGTCTGCCTGGCCGTTGTACTTTTCTGACTCAGATCCCGGTTTGCTCAGGGAACAGCCCAGGGGGGACACAAGCCATGTCAGTTCTTGCGACTTTACTGACAAGCAGTCGTCTTATTCTCCCTGCATTTCCACTCTGCCTGGGCCCGTATTACACCTCATGCCAGTTACAGTATTTGCTTCACTCATCTGGGTTGTGTTTAGCAGAGCTACATTAGGACTTTCACAGGTTCTTGGGACATTTGCCTTTGTGGGCTCCTTTCTCCATTAAAAAGTATTTTCTATTATTATGTTATGATTTGGATTCAGTGTGACAGGTAAGGACGCTGAGGCAGAAGAGAGAAACAACCACCCAAGGCCACATCTTGGCAATGACAAAGCCCAAACCAACCTCTGACTGCCTGGTACTCAAAGCAACACAAGAAATAAAATTAATTTAAATGCTTAAAAAAAAGATATGTATCCTTCACTTGTTCATTCATTCAGCCAATACCTTTTTTTTTTTTTTTTTTGAGTTGGAGTCTCACTCTGTCACCCAGACTGGAGTCAAGTGGCCACTCCCGGCCACCGCAGCCTCAACCTGCAGGGCTCCGGCGATCCTTCCGCCTCAGCCTTCCAAGTAGCTGGAACCACAGGCGCGCACTACCATGCCCGTCTAATTTTTTTATTTATTGTAGAGATGAGGTCTCGCCAAGTTGCCCAGGCGGGTCTCTAACACGCGGGCTCAGGCAATCCCCTCACCTTGGCCTCCCAAAGCGCTGGGATTACAGGCTGAACCACCGAGCCCGGCCCATTCAGCCAATATCTAATGAGCACCAGCCATGTGCCAGGCACTGTGTCAGCACCAGGGACACAGCACAGAGTGAGACTGGCTGGTGGGAGGGACCGCACAATCAACAACTCTCTAATGGCAGTCCTCAGCAGCACAAAAGGGACGAGCACCGTGCTGCAGAAGCAGAAAGCAAGAAATTGACGCCCAATTGGGAGAGAGGAGAGCTCTCCCTTACCTCTACTGTGGTATCCAAGAACAATAAGGGGAGAGAATACGTGTCTGAAATTGCCTTTAAAAATTATTTAGCCAGGATCGGTGGCTCAGCCTGTAATCCCGCACCTTTGGGAGGCTGAGGTGAGTGGATTGCCTGAGCCCGTGGGTTGGAGACCCTCCTGGGCAACTTGGCGAGCCCTCATCTCTACAATAAACCAAAAATTAGCCAAGCGTGGTAGCGCGTGCCTGTAGTTCCAGCTACATGGAAGGCTAAGGCAGAAGGATCGCTGGTGAAAGAACTTAAGCGCCAGTGACAACTCCACACCCATTAAAGACTAAGAGATTTATTAAAGGGCGGCTACAGGGGAAAAGGGAAAGGGTCTGTGGCCGCAGGGTTGGCGGGGGAGAGAGGGAGACGAGGGGGGGGGGGGGGAAGTGAGAGAGAGCGGGGAGAGAGAGAGCAAGAGCTAGAGAGTTGCAGGGAGAGGGCCGTATTTATTAGCCTGACAGGGGCCGGAAGGGGCTGTGCTAGGTTTCTATAAGCAGCCTGGGAGCAGGGTGGGTATAACAAAGCTAGCTACATCATGGGAAATGATTGGAGGCTTGCAGGTTTGAACTTCGTGTGCGAGGGGAATTGTGCATGAAGAAGCCGGAACCTAGGGCCTTTGTTGTCTAGTGTGGCTTTACCATGTTCGGCGCCATTTTGGGAGCCGCCCCTCTGGCTGTTTCCTGTA